TCAAGTAATTATTGACTAAATCTGCGTTGAGGGTGTTTTCTTCGACGTCTCCCTTTACGGCCTTAATTCCGAAATATAATTATATGATAGAGTTTTGTAGCGACTGCCGATTGGTGCGCCAGACGTACAAGAAAGGATGGTACGTGGTGCGGAGAGGTTTCTTTCGTGCATCCCATGGTCATATGTGGCTTTTTTATACGATGCAGTGGTACGAAATGGTCACTGGGACGCTGAGTACGCTTTGATGGGTGGCTTACATATACATTTAGTAGTATATAGAAGAATTAAAATGCGGCTTTGTGTTTCACTTTAATTTTAATCTTGTTCCTAAAAGGTTTACAGTGCTACGTCTGACAGGTAGGTCACGTGGAAATTTACAACGTGCTTATTTGTTCTACGTTTGAGTAGAGTAAAGCAAGTATGCAATATTGCAGGAGTGGCTATAAAAGACGTCAGCCTAGTGCAATAAAATCTTTATTATTTACAGTGCTCTCAAGTGCCATCTGAGAGATATGTCTGCTAGTTTGCATACATATGGTGTACCTACTTATTTATATATATATTATTTTTGTATAAGAAATTTCTATGTATCTTTTATGTATTTTACTTTTATATATTTGTCGTTGGGTTAACTTTTCATTTAGGATATTTTAAAGAGTAGAATAGCAGTAAAGCTCCTCGTGAAAGAGTTTGTCCAGGGAAGTACTGCCGCCTTACCTATTCCAGCCGCTAAGCAGTAATGTCAGCATTACTGTATTCCGGTTTTGAAGGGTAAGAGTGCTGGTGAATTGTGATTTAAAGCTCTGAGTGGCACGTCAAACAAAAAACGTCAAATTTGCTGGAACAGAAATTTCAAGAGTCAAGTTGTCAATCACAAACCAATCACGGTCACGTGACACACTGTGCCCATGGTCGTGCTAATGCGCTTAGAAGCCTTACGGGGCAGCCTCCGCCCTCGCTTCTCCTCGCGGCAGCTGCGGCGCCACTCCTAGAGCGGGTGGCAAGTTAGTGTTTATCTTTGTTTGTTTATCTACCTACCGACTTTCTAGTCTAGAACAGTGGCGTAGCGTCGATTTCTGCCGCCCAGGGTCAACCTTAATAATATAATATAGGATATAATATTAGTACTAACATTCGATAACATTACATACGTTGCTCTGATCCCAAATGAAATAGCTAAAGCACTTGGGTTATGGAAATCTGAAACAACGACGGTACCACAAACACCCAGACCCGAGACAATATAGAAAAGTTAGTTTTTTACACTGACCCGGCCGGGGATCGAACCCGGGATCTCAGAGATGGCGACACCATGAAAACCAGTGTGCAAGCTACACACAACCGCAAGCCACAGAGGCGGTCAAAAACCTTAAATTTGCTGCCCCCTCTATTTTCACGATCACAAAAGTGGTTCGTTCGGGCAGGTCGGCTTGATTCGGTTTTTATGTTCGCCTGCCGTCGTCAACTTTGTGTTTTTCAGGATATCGTTTTGTCAATTAGTAGAATTAATTTTCTAATTTTAAGTAATAAAATAATAATTGGAATAGTTAGGGATCGGCCGCGCTCGTCGCCGTCGACCCCATTGCTATGCCGCCAGGGGCCATGGCCCGCTTTTTATCCCCAACTACGCCACTGGTCTAGAAGCCTGATAATGGTATGGTAATATAATAAGACCACATGTGATTATACGTGAATAGTGCTTTTTTCATATGAAAGTCATAAAATTAGTATGAATTATATGAAATATACATGCATAATTTATGTGAAATTTTATAACACCTATTTAGGCATTAAAAAAATATTGACTACTTTCGTTTGTACAATCTTTAAAACTCTCTCATGAAAAGTTGTAATTTTGCAAACATGACCTTATTGCACCAAAGCAATTGTAGTAAAACTCAATCTAACATTCAGGAAGATTTTTTTTATAATATATAACGGGACGAACAAGTCGTGTACCTGATGGTAAGCTACACGCCTGTCCATAACAGTTGCAGTGCCACTCAGAGCTTTAAATCGCAAAGATCTGAGGGGCACTGCCACAGCGCTCGTCAACCTAAGACATAATTTGACAAGTCCCACGTGCCTGTAATTTCATCAGCACCCTTACCCTTCAATACCGAAACACAGTAATGCAGACATTACTGCTTGGCGGCAGAAATAGGTAAGACAAGGAGTTGTACTGCTATAAGATGCTTTTACCGATGACCTAGTTGTAATTTTTACTCGTTTTCGTCATTAATTAAATGATAAAAATGATGACTCAGAAGGAATTAGATGCATAATGTGCAACGAATTCGGACAAGACAATGAAATGTGGTACTATATACTAAAATGTGGTGGTAGTGCACTTTATGTGTGCTTTGGACTGACGAGGAGTGCGCAATCTGTGACTTCGGCAAGGGCTTTCTTTGTGGTATTTATTTAATTTACCTGACCCTAATTGCAAAAAGATGACCGCAATTGCCAATACGCAGGGGCAAAGGCGGTCAAAATGTATTCTTTTTTTAAGTATTATGATTCCCAAATTATAAATTCAAAGTTATTGAGATGTATCTTAATTATCAGTTTATTATATATATATATATATATATGTTAATTTTATTATAAGGCGGTTGCAATAAATTTTTTATTTGTACTTCGATTGTTATTGCAATAATTGCTTAAGAACTCCCATTTCCCCCTTTTCCCATAGCTGCTACTAAAGATGGATCTACAGAATTTTTTAATTAACCTGAAACATCCATAAACGGCTTTCCTACTAAAAAGATTCCTTTTGTTAGTGTAACGTCATCGCGATGATTCTGCAGATGATTTAATAATACAGTACTACTACTTTTGAATGACAACTTACTTGGGTTTTTAGATACATAAACAAATCTTGTTTCACTTGCATAAACAAAAACCAGAGGTAGATTGATGATATTATATAAATCTCTCTCCTGAAAAGTTGTCATTTTGCAGATGTAGCTTTATTACACGCAGTGTGCGATTTCTTTTTAGGGTCGTTTTCAGATAACCTCCAAATATGTGTCCCTTTCAATAACTTTTATGTTATTACATGAATGCTAAGCATTATTTATTTAATACGATTGCTTGCTTACTTAGTCTGTGTTACACATAAAAAGTCTACTTTACTACATCACAGTAATAAACAAAATTTAAAAAATTTAAAAAATTTAAAATTTAAAAATTTCAAAAGCAAATTCTCATTCATGGGAGCCGGTTCCACGTCGCCCTAATATTAAGAAAAGAAGAAAAAAAAATTAAACACTCGAGGAAATAGCAATATTTCCCGTCGTGGATAAACTTTAATAACTTACACGTCGAATACATACCATAACTTTCCCATTTATTATAAACAAACACGTTTTCTTGGGAATACAAAATGTGTTTCAAATTTTCTTATCATTAATGTCAATTCAACTAAAAGCCTCCCAATAACCAAAGTTCATACCGCATCACCTTCACCCTTCGCACACGTGAGAAGGGGCTCCTTTCGGATTAGAGTGTACACAGTGAAGTAACCTGTGCATCTCTGTTTTAGCAAAAAATCGATTTAAATACCACTTTCAGCGCTATTGACTAAATCGTTCTCATTCATGTAAAGCAATCTATCTAAATTAGTATTAAGTAATAGTTTTAAAAACTTTATTGTACAGCAATTAGACAAAGGGAACTTTAAAATCCAAGCACTTTTATAACGGTTCAGCTTATTTTACACACTTGACAATTAAAATTTATCCAAATATCATTATTGTCGCTCTCATTGTTGTCTACTTTGAAGTCTAATAGTTACTTTAAGCTAAACATTTACTTGAAATATAACAATTAGGTGGTGATAGTGGTGGTGATGACGGTGGTGATGATGTTGATGGTGGTGATGATGATATATTGATGTACAAAAAAGTTTATATGACATTAACAAAATACTTTTTTAGATTTATTTATTAATTACGTATAGATAGATAGATGGTCTTACATGGATGAGAAGGATTTTGATACAAGAAGTTATATTAAAATATTTGTTACATGTTAAACGTTTTTTGTGAACGATAAAATGTGTGTTGTAATAATAATTTCTCATTACTGTGCCGTCTTTCTCATTTATGTTTATGAGAAAATCATTCGTGTTACTGCAAATCTCATTCGTGTGACCTAAAATATCGTTTTCTGTTGTATTTAACTTAAATATTTCTGTGACTTTTATAATTATTGACATTGCTTGGACTTATTTGTACGTTTTAGACTTTAAAATCGAAAGAACAAAGGGTTTTACAAAATCACTCAAAAAGTGCCATTGAAATTCGGAAAAATGAAATTCAACCTTTAGTAAGAGAAAATAACAGTACTTTGCGAACTTTACTCGTTTTTACGAGGAATATAAAAGATTCTGAAAATTTGTTTTATTGAAATCATTATTCATCACAACGGGTTTTATTGAAATTAAATTGAATTATGAATAGCACAAGTCTACCAATTACCAGTCAGTACTTGTTTCATTCATTTCCATACTGATGGAATTTATAGGCAAGTCAAGAAACTTTTAGCCGAGCGGAAGCTTTTTATTCCTGCCGTGTTTTAATGAAAATTTTATTCAGGTCAGGAAATCAGCTTACATTCGACGCTGTAAGCCTCCTGGGCGTTGTGTATGATTACCAAACTCGTTTTCATCTCGGAGGTGTATTATGTGGACGCATTCGATGTCGCATTATTATGTAACTGAAAATTTTAAATCGAGAAATCGTTCAGAGAGCTATAAATTGGTCCCCAGAGGACTGAGGCCGAGAGCTGCTGGTGGGTCGATCAGCGGTGACCGGCACGTGACTTAATTGAGATTAATAAACCTTCGGTAAGTTGCGATTTTGCACTGAGGAGACAGGGGTTTGTTTACAGGGGCGGGCGGGGTCGGCTGGCCGTTCGCGGCACAACGGCGGCGGGGAGTCAGCTGGGTGCGCGCGCCGGTCGATACCAGCGGTGGCGGCGCGCCGGCGCGGCCCTATCGAGCCCACACGGGGTAGTGCCGCCGCCGCCGTCGGCCGCACGTGATGCATGCGGGCACCTAGCGGCTGCACGCGCGCGGGCCTCATGGGCACCGTGCTGAGCTTCAGCCCGCGCGAGCGGCGCCTGCCCCAGGCCGCACCGCCGCCCGATCGCGCTGCCGCGGCGCTTGCCTACTCCTACGAGCGGCTCAACAACGCCAAAAACCGCGAGAACCGTGATATCCCGCCGCACGAGCGTCGCGCCACTCTCGACGATGCCGCCAAGATTATATCAGAGAAGACAGCCCTCGAAAAGAACCTAAAGAAGCATTCGCTGTTTATAAACGCGCTCTCGTGGAAGAGATTCTCTACGGCCAACAACAACAAAAAGAAGCTAGAATGCAAGAGCAAGAGTGTGGCTACTTTCCGCGCGCCGTTGACGGACAATGCACCGCTCGACAGGAACAAGAATGTCAGCGTGCAGGGCGTGATATATGCGCGGCCTACGGTGGTGCCTACGCCGCTGCCGCCACCCGCCGAGGTGGTGCGGGCCAACGTACTCAACAACAACGTTTGCTACGCGGAGAAATTGCCCACAACGGCGGTAGGGCCGGTGGTGCAACCGCGGAAAACCGTCATCCAGGCGTCGACATCGGAGCTGCTCAAGTGCCTCGGCATGTTTCTGCATGCGCGTTGCCACCGCCTGCGCGACTTCCAAGCGGGCGACGCCGTTATGTGGCTACGAACCGTCGACCGCTCGCTGCTGCTGCAGGGCTGGCAGGTAAACATCCCGCAAACATTATCATCGCACTGCACTCACTAGCGCCCTCTCTGCGCAGCGCATAGTCTACCCTCGAATGCTCTTTGTTTTCCTTGTCGCCTCTAAGGTTAATGATACCGTTTTTGTTTCGTTCTTTCCTTTTTTTAACACTCGCTTGCCCATTTTTACACTTTATGAGGTGTTTTTGCGATACACAACTGCCTAATTAGCCTAATTAATAAGTTTATGATAGGTCAAAGCGAACAACTTCCTTTTAATTAATGGATTCTATTAGGACATCATAAAAGTCGCATCTTGTTCATTCAATTGCGTTTTGGCCTTGTTTTCTTAAGTTATAATGAGTAGGCCTTTTCGTAACAATTTTTCTCGATAGCAAATGACAAGGATCTATTGAGTGGAGCCAGTGGCTCGCCTTGTTGTTATTCCGGCGATTGACAGTGCGTGGGACGAGAAGTTACGAAAAGGACAGCGAATTAAAGATCCTTACCTCATTTTGATATAATGATATTATGTATAAATCTTGAAAGCGTTGTATTAAAGCCGGAATAGCTAAATAATTTCAACAAAACAAGATCTTTATTCCTTCCAAACCTACAATTTCTAGTAGCTGTATTGCATTCCTTGGTCCCTACAGAAGCTGCTATATTTTTAAAATATTCACATTTGCTTATAATAGTAAAATTGCGTAGGTGCAATTGCATTGAGTAGGTGGTATCGACCGGCGGAGTCTTCCTTTCAATGCCTTGTTCACTGTCCTCGGTCCGGATCGAACCCAGGTTATTATTACCCTTTTTCCTAAAGGTTTCCGCGACCGTAACATAAAATGCGCAGACGATTAAAAGGGTAGTTTTTAATTACCAAATAAGTATCTAGCCTTACCTATAGGTAACAACAATGAGCTTACTAGAAAGACCCATATCGTAATAATTGACATTGTTATTAGTATCAAGTTTTTAGATTCATTCGTTATTAATTTTATAATAGATGGATTGCTAACTTACTCAAAGCTAATCGCCTACCTTTACACACGCGCGCGACTTTAATCATCGATACAAAAGCACGATTGCATTGCTACACTTCTTATTAATATGCGATCAGCAGTCGTAATGATTTGGCAGAATAATTTTCAAACAAATTAAATGACATTTCGTCTTTACTTCTGGTTATGTACTCGATGCCGGTCGGCGTTCAAGGACTTCCATTATTTCGTATTGCCATCGATTCTACTGAAATCAAGCTAACAACTAATTATTCCATAAAATAGTAAATTTTTGAAATTTACAATAGCGAGACGAATCCAATACAGTAGGTACAATGTAAAAAATTATACAAGTTCCAACATTGTGCAGTCGTTCTGCTGGCAACTATTGCACCGCGTACATTAGAAAGTATATATGTACGGCAGATGTGATTACACTGAAATCTCTATGTTTAAATGTATATGATGTTCTCCCTTCAATCTAGACGTGAGGTACTAGATATAGGTAGTATAGGTTGGTCTAGGTTGCAGTCTGCGGCGGCGCGCGTCCACTTCCTGTGTCACCCCATACACCCCATATGTGTATAGGTAAACCGCACGGACATATAGCTAGACGTCCGTGTCATATAGATCCTAATTAACGCCAGGGGAGGTTATTTAGGACAAATTGTGAGTACATAGAAGTAATTATGGCAGATTTTGTATTTTTTTTGAGTATTGTAAAACAGATAAACGTACATTTATGAAAATGTTATTTACGTTAAGAAAAATATTATTTATTTTTTTTATGAAAAATAGTGGCAGACATAACATTAATACGAGGAATAAAAAAAATAGCTGTTCTTGACAGTCGTCTTCAAAAGTCTCAAATTTACAGAGGCAATGTATATACACACATCAAAAGTGTCTAGGGATCAAGTACGTTTAAGAGTATTGCTGTAATTAGGGTTAATTATATTAACTTTTTTGTATCGCTATTGATACTTTTTAGTGAGTTTTAACATTTAAATAAGGAATATTGTTTAAAATTCGATAATAAGAAGAAAATCGATTGTCAATGTGGTTTTGTATAAAAATAAGTTATAGCGTTTTGACAAAATCATTACAATATCTGCATCGGAACCGAAACAATTTACATTATTATGGAGAGACGACATCATTTAACCCGAGAAGTGATGATGCGAGCCGTCGGAATGTTGGAAGCTGGTTCCAGGCAACGTGCTGTGGCTTTCACTCTTAACACTACACAGAGCGTCATAAGTCGCCTCTGGACGCGCTATCGCATGACGGGCAGCGTGGCCGAGCGACATGGAGGACGATCTCGCATCACGACTCGCAGACAGGACGGGTATATCCAAAATACTGCTCGACGGAATCGTACCATGACCGCCATGATGTTGGTTACGAGGCTCCACAGCTCCTCAGGCTTGCTAATAAGCGATCAAACAATCCGAAATCGTTTACGTGAAGTGGGTCTGCGATCCCGACGGCCGCTCAGAGTTCCACCTATTGCACCCTGCAATCGCAGGACCCGTTTACGATGGGCTCGCGAACACAGAAACTGGGAGGAAGAAGACTGGCGCTATGTGTGCTTTTCGGATGAATCCCGCTTCGGTATGAGACCGGATACAAGACGTACTCGAGTTTGGAGAACATCTGGACGTCATGAACGTTTGAGATATTGTCAAGTTCATCCATATGGTGGGGGAACAATAATGATATGGGCCGGTATTTGGATACCCTCTCTTTGGTAACCTCAATGCTCAAGTTTACGCAGAGAGGATTGTTTCAGATGTTATCATCCCTTTGCGAGGCCAGTTGGGTGATTCATTTCAACTAATGCATGACAACGCACGTCCACACACGGCTAGAGTCGTAACACGCATTCTTGCCGAAGCTCGTATCAACGTTCTGCCGTGGCCTGCTCAATCGCCAGACCTCAATCCAATTGAGCACGCATGGGATATGCTTCAAAGAAGAGCTGTGCCGAGTATGCATACCGTACATACTCTACAACAATATTTTGACTTGTTACAAAACACATGGGCGGCCATTCCTCAAAGTGATTTTGATGAACTCATCTTAAGCATGCCAAATCGCTGTAATTGTGTGATTCGTGTTAATGGTGGAAATACAGATTATTAATTTTCTTATCTTTACAATAAAAATGAGCAAAATCATCATTTTCGCCATTTTTTTGTCATTTAATTGACGCCGTTAATTTGAGTTTTTTCCCACAATTTGCAAAAACATCAATTTTAGTTTATTTTAATTAAATATAGGGGTAAGCGGTTAAATAAAACATAAGCATTAAAGTAAGAAGTCGTCCTGGAAGACTGGATTTGGTAAATATTGCTTAAATAATTTTTATTTCAAAAATATTCACTTGATCCCTAGACACTTTTGATGTGTGTATATACGCATCTATAATAAAATTCCGATTGATATTCAAAATTTACTGTTTACGAGGTTTAAAACTATAATAGTGAAACAAAAACCTTCTACCAAAGGTGATTATACAGCTTCTGCGTACTTGGATAACAAAAATCCGTGGCAGTGACCCGTTTAGCTCTTGCTAGTCTAGTCTAGTATTAGGGTAGTCACGATCTAAGATGTTTAAATTAAATACTATAATGATAAATGTATATCGAGTTCTTAGGTTTTCGCGATTGTTACACATAGGAAATGAAACTATTTTTCCGGATTTAAATCGCGTATATTTGTTTTTTCAAACAAACCGACGTTTCGGGCCCTTTACAGGTCCCATGGTCACGGTTGACTGGGGTGGTACAGTCTTCAAGCAGTTATGTCTAATATTAATGCAAACCACCCTATTTTTTCACTATAGTTACAATAGTTATTAATTAAATACCTTATTTTTAATTTTACAAAGAAAACATTCCAATTTACGCTACATTAAGTTTTACAAATTATTTTATTGAATGAATTTTTATTAAGTTTAATTTATTATTAATTATTAATAGAAATTAGAATAAACTAAAACATATTAATTAGTACTGCAGTCTTATGTCTGTTTGGGATTTTTCATTAGAGGAAATACTGGATCCCAAACTGGTGGTACGGAGAAACCATCTTCCCTGTTGAAATTAGGTTGTTTTTTAATTTCAATGGCCTCTCGCAGCATCCTGGGCAGATAACGGACTTCTTTTGCAAGGACCTGGGGTTTGTCAAACTTCATTGAATGTGTAGGTTTATCCATGACATGCTCGCAGACTGCAGACTTGTTTACGCGACGGTGTTTGACATCAGCTATATGTTCTTTGACGCGGGTACAAATACTTCGCTTCGTTTGTCCAATATAAGTGAGACCGCACTCACAGTCAAGCTTGTAAACTCCTGCATCCTGTAAGGGGATGTTACATTTGATGGGTCTCAGGAACTGAGAAATCTTCCTCAGGGGCTTGAAATAGGTCTTGATAGATGCACGCCTGAGGACTCTTCCGATCTTGTCTGTAACACCTCTCACGTAAGGTAAGATGGCAGGTCTTCGCTCGACTGTTGGTGGTTTCACACGGGGTCTGCGGCATTGGCGTGGAATCCTCAACTTATTCGTATTTATACTTAATGTAGCGTAAATTGGAATGTTTTCTTTGAAAAAATAGGGTGGTTTGCATTAATATTAGACATAACTGGTTGAAGACTGTACCACCTCAGTCAACCGTGACCATGGGACCTGTAAAGGGCCCGAAACGTCGGTTTGTTTGAAAAAACAAATATACGCGATTTAAATACGGAAAAATAGTTTCATTTCCTATGATAAATGTATTCAAATGGTATATTTACAAAGAGCAATCCCTAGAGTTTCTTGCTCATTATTTTCAGGGGAATCTGCCTTACGAATGAGCAGTAGAGTTTTAAGCAGTATGACGATTTCAAGTGTAATTTTCTTACCTATGAAACAAAGCCTATTTGACTTAGATTTTGAGAGATTATAAAGCAGAAAATGTTATTGTTACGTATTATAGTTATTAGGACAATATTTGGAAATGGTTTTCTAATT